TAAAAAATAAGGAAAAATAAATGAATAAAATTCATCCCCAAAGACTATATCTGACTTTCTTCTTTCAAGGTTATAAAAATAGTTTCATTTAGAATATTTTTGCATAGTTTCTTTTTTTAAATTTTTCTTTCTTTTTTTCTTTTTCTTTTTTCTTTTTGGAGGAACAGGGAATTGAACTCAGGCCCTTGTACTTACCAGGCAAACGCTTTTTCTACTGAGCTATCTCCCTGATTCATATAGCTAAATAATCCTAGACTTTCATTATATATTACATAATGACATTTCTTTAGCAAGGCTAGGTTTCATGTGTGTATTAACTGTACAATTTATACCAAACAAACCATAACCTCTACTCAAAATTTGTACACATTTTCTTCAGCCTCCTGAAAATTGGAAAAACCCTCTCAAGTCTATCTAAGAATAACAGGTCTTTATTGCAATGAATTACAAAGCTAGATCATCAGTGGCCCCTGTAATGTATCTTGTCTTAGAGATGTTGTGGTGTTTGAAATCTTCAAAGAAGCTTCAAGCCAGGTGGGGTTGCATATGCCTTAAATCCCATCTCTCTGGGAGACAGAGGCAGAAGAATCACAGCTCAAGCCCAGGCCTGGGAGCTCAGCAACCTATTGAGACATTGCATCAAAAGCAAATACAGGGCCGGCCAAATAGCTCAGGGGATTAAAGTACCTGCAAGCGGGCACAGGAGCTGGGGGTTCAATCCCCGGGCCTTCTGTGCTGGCCCTGCCCCAGGGGTACACTGAGATGGAAATTGAGACTGTGTGTTGTGGCATGCACCTGTAATCCCAGCTCTTGGGAGACTGTAAACAGAAGAATCACTATGAGTCCGATCTAGTAGTGAGACCCTGAGCACCCTGTAGACCCTTCCCTAAAAATACAAAAAAAAAAAAAAAGCAAATACAGGAAAAGGATGGGTATGTAGCTGAGGAGAAGACCCTGGGTTCAACCCTGATACCACATAAAATTAAGAAAAAATTCATCAGATAAGAGCTTACATAGACAACCTAACTAGGCAATGAAGCTTCAGCATGTCATTTCAAACTCAATTCAAACTGGAATTTTATCTGTTTAATGTGATTACAAAATATTTGAAAATTCATTGTCAAAATTAACCAATCAATTGTGGCTACGCACACAAGCCATCCTGACTCCCTGGAGGAGAGGATACTGCACAGCATCCCATTAAGTTTACTTCTTCAGACTATTACAGCACTGAATTCATTAAAAGCTTGATTTTATAAAATCAAAGGCTTTCACCACTTAGAAAGGGCAGAGTCGGTGTGATCTATTAATTCACCCACTGTAGGGAAACGAATGGGGCGCAGCAGCCTGGAGGGATTCCCCTGTCCTCCTACAGCACTCTCCACCCGGGACCGACCTCTCGGACTCCCCAGCATGAAGGACCGGGTGCCAATGACCCCCTTCTCTACTCCCAGTGTGCAGGCTCCTTTCACATGCCTTGGCTGTGCCAGCCTCCTTTCATTTAGCTTCTCCACGTGGCTTCCCGGGCACAGCGGTATTGACCCCAGTGGAGGCCTGCGGTGTTTGCACAGTGGCTTTTCCTGGAGACTGCCCTTTCCCCAGACCCCAAGGGGTGCTCAGACTGCCTGCTGGAGGTTGGGCGGGAGCTGGAGAAGTGGCTCCCCAGGTGTCCTAGCCAAGGCAACCAGCAGCCAGAAGAGCCTGGATATCTGAGGAGGGCCAGTCCAAGTCCCTGGACACCAACGTGATTTGGCCAGACTCCGGCCACACAAGGCAAGGAAGTGTGGCTGGAGATGCTGCTGCTAGGTGCTTCTCGCGGTCACCATGTCCTGGGTGGTGACAGGAAATTCAGAGTCCCAAATGGTGGGTGGGAGGTGCAAACACCCCTTCTCTCTCCCACTCCCTACTCTTTCTCTTCCTTCCTCTTTCTGTTTTTGTTTTTGGAGATAAGATCTCACTGTAGTTCATGCTGGCCTTGAATTCACTATTTAGCCCAGGCTGGCCTCAAACTCATGGCAATCCTCCTGCCTCAGTCTCTCAAATGCTGGGATTATAGGTGCCTACTTCTCTCTCTGTCTCTTTCTCTCTCTCCTCTCTCTCTCTCTCTCTCTCTCTCTCTCT